GGGGGCAATTTAACAGCTCCTAACAAAGTACTCTGCAAAATGTGCAAGAAAACTGTTCCTACAAAAGATGTAAACAGGCTACAAAAGATAAGATACCAGCGGCTGGTGATGTGTGACCCCTACTTAAATGACACAACCAAACACTGCTGAAGCACTCAATATGACAGGAAGCGCAAATGCAAATTTGCGATCTGATTGCATAATACAAAGGCAGGTTTTTAAGCAGCTGGTTAGCAAGCTCAACACAAAATACATCTCAATTTCCTTGAGATATCGTGATATAATAAATACATATTTCCTTAAGTTATCATGATTTATCTTTAAAGGTTTGGCTTACATGCAACTTTGCAAACCTAAGTGGCGCTGCCTGTTTCTTTTTAGGAGGAGACTTTCTCCTGGAAACACTTTCAAACAACACATACTAGTTCAATCTCTTTCTAACTGTGTTGTAAAGAACTTTAAAATTCCAACAGCTGCCTGCAGAGTTGGAGATTTAGCTCTTGGGGTTTTTTGCAGTTTCTTTGAGCATTGCACAATCTGAGCTTGAGGGAAATTTGCTGGGATGCCCACTCCTGGGAGATTGTGCCTAAATGCCCCAAAGTGGCAAAACCTGCCAATCAATTAATCATGTGCATTTGATTAGCAGCACCTGGCTGCTATCTTTGTTCTTGATTCCCAATGAAGCAGTAAGGATGAACTTGGTTTTCACCGGACTCAAGTATTTACTGTTGAATAAGTTGAACAAAACTGTTTCGTTGTTTTCTCAGTTTTAAAAATGATAGTCTCTTCTTTTGCTGTTTGAAATGCACAACTGACTCCAACAAAACAAACTTTACAGTATTCAAAATATAATTGAATAAATGTTCCAACAACCACCACACTCATTTTTGACACTCGTTTCCTCCATGCAACTGGGAGTGAGATTCCTGAAATGTTTCAGATAACCCACAGACAAAACCATGCAGTGAAAACACAGACAGTAGAGGGGCTCCCAGTCCCAGTCACACGCTCTCAGGGCTCAAGGTCTCGTCCCATCAAGTACTGTTCCCAGCCCTTCCACCTTTTCCCACCAAGTCTGGGCTGTGGCCTGCTTCCTCACACACCTGGACACTACACGTGTTTTTAAACAAAGGTTTTTCCTGCATAGATGAAGGCTGGAACCCACCAAATCAATTGTACTGTATTTGTTTTAACATTCACTCAAATTATTTTTGCACACATTTCTGTATAATAAGGTAACGAACGTGGATAGTCAACCACAAAAGGTCCCCTTTTTATTGATGTGTGTGCTAATAAAAAGCTTGTGTCTGCAACAACAGATCTAGAAGGAAACAAAAGTGAGGAATCAACTACATTTGGAAAGCTTGGTTGAGAAAATGCACACTCAGGAAAACACAGAAAAATGGGAAAATAACACATTACCCTGCTAAGAAGGCAAACGAGTGAAAATGTATTTTAATCATTGAACTGTGACCCTAAACGTAACATAACAAATACAACCAGCAGTCATACTCGTTCTAAAAACATGGACCCCCCTCGCCCAAAAAAAAAATTGTCAGGTTGAGTGTAACGCAGGTGTGGATTTTTGATTTGGGCTGGCGTACAGAAAAGGAAACTCTAAAGGCCTTAAATATGTCAACTTAACAACAGTTTTACAAATCATTAAGCTCGTTAAGTAAATTAGCAAGTCATAATGTTATCATTAACAGAAAGTCATCGGCCTTGTTGAAGTAACCACAGTGGGAGCGATTTCATTCATCCAATTTTTTGTGCAGTTTTTAAAACACGTTTTAATTACCTTACTAACCTTTAACTCTCAATGGTTGCCAAAAATAAAAATAAATAACGAAAAAAAATAAAACGGGTGTGTGATTTTAAGTTATTGCAGTATACAGTAAAGGCACGAGGCTTGCAGTGGGCTTTATTAAAATACAAGCAATGCTAAACAACTAGCCGGCGTTAGCATTTTTAGCTAGCCAGCCTTTCTGACAGCACTACAAGCAACTTGAGAACACCAGAAAAATATATTTAGACAAGTATATTTAGAAAAGGTAAGGACTTTTATCCGCCATCGTTACAGCACGGTGGTGTATTTTTAACCCGCCGTGTCTCGGCGTATGTGGGTGCAGAAACGAAGCGGAAGTTACTTTAACAAACAACCCGTTAGCCAGCGAGATGCTAATGTTAGCACACAAAACTGCTCGCCGGGCGCACCACCAGAGCGTTTAGGAGTTTGTGGCTGTGATTGTGGCGTTTTTGCCGTTATTACAAAAGGCATGCTGTTGTTTGAGGCGTGATTTTTTTTCTTTTTACCTTAATGATCCTGCGGGGCAGTCCTGCCATCTTGTCTTAAATGCGGGCTTTTTAGCTCTCAGTGCCTTCTTTCTGTCGTTGGCATTGACAGCAAACACACGTCTTCCGGGTTCTCTGCGTCACGGTGATAGTGAATGGAGGGACGTGAACGTGACTTACACAGCAGCTGCTTGTCTAACACACTCACGATGCAAACATGTTTCTCGAATGGTTAAAAAATATTATTCCAAGTAAAGGTAACGTCTTCTTAAGGTAAGCCTTAATGGAAAACGATAAATATGGGTAACATGAACTGGCCTGTACGTTTAATTTTCAATAGCATAACATGAAAAGAAGAAGCAGTGAACAGTTACAGGCAAGTTGAATTTTTTTTTCAACTAAGAAAAAACAGATTCATGAGATTTATGTGACATGAGTGATATTTATAGTGATATATATTTATGCATCCAAAATTGAGCTTGACCAATATCTGCAGCGGCTCATATGGACAAGCCAAATGGCTTCCAGAGAAAAGTTTTATGTTCAGACAAAATAAACAATTAGCTGTTTGGCCACAATGACACAAGGTAATGCCTTTAAGCTGAAGGAGACTGTACTAACTATCTAGCATGGTGGTGGTAGCACCATTTCCTAAGACTGTTCCGCTGTCATTAGTTCTGGTACATTGCACAAAATAGATGTAATAATAAAAAGGGGGGGATTAACTTCAAATTCTTCAGTGATTCTTGACAGTGATCTGAAGTGCACATCAAAAGCGGTTTTGGAATGGATAACGCATACTAACATTAAACTTCTCAAATGGCCATCCCAAAGCCCCAAACTTAATCCTACTTAAAAATTTGTGGGCTGCATTTAAAAGCTGTGTCCATTCAAGAAAACCAACCAATTTAAATGAACTCTACCAATTCTGCCAAGAAGAGTGTTCAGATATTCATCCAGTTTCATCCAGTAAATGTTGCACCAACATTTAACCCAGTATCACTGCGCTTGTATGCATATGTTTTATACTTTGTACACCTAACATACAGTGCAATAGTATAGCATCAACTTCATTTCATAAGAGGAGTAGAGATTAAAGCTGGTAATATATACAAAAGTATATCCATCCATTCACTTCCGCTTATCCTTTTCAGGGTTGCAGGGGGCGCTGGAGCCTATCCCAGCTGTCATAGGGCGAGAGGCGGGGTACACCCTGGACAGGTCGCCAGTCTGTCGCAGGGCTAACACACAGAGACAGACAACCATTCGCGCTCACATTCACTCGCACATTCACACCTAGTGGCAATTTGGATTATCCAATTAAGCTATCCCCACAAGCTGCATGTCTTTGGACGGTTGACATCTTACTTTGACCCAGAAATCAGTTCGGGCTAATAAAAATGAGAAATAAAAATTACTTTATCAAACTCATAAATAATAATCATCATGTAATAAAGTGAGCAGTGACCAACTGCCTTGTTATCAGCACCACAGTTCAAAAGTCAGCATGCATGTTCATATCGGAGGGGACAGAAGCAGATTAGTGTGTGTGTCTCAAGAAGGAAGTCACCTGGATTTTCAAATGTAGTGAAAATCCAGCCTCCTAGTGCATCGACTAGGAGGCTGAGGGGTAGCACTGGCAGCATCAGTATTTTTTGCACTGCAGAAGCTGTAGTAGAATAGTGGCTATTAACATCAACATGGCTGTTTTTTTTTTTATCATTTGGCAACACCTTTTTTTCTACATGTGCTTCCCAGCTGTGCTTGTTCCTGAAGCAGAAGTTGTTCAGAGATTACCACAGTGCCTGATGTTGTCTTTCCCATTGTTAGACAACTCAACACATTTCTTAGACTGAACATCTCCAAGGTCCAATAAACCTGCAGAGTCCTGTTGAATTTTGGGATATTTTTTGTCTCATGGATGAATAGGAAGAATATATTGGGGGGGGTTTGGAGCTCCTCCTCCTCCTCTCATATCTGAATGGACAAAAGCTTTTCCCCTTTGGGTTTCAGGCCTATAATGTGGACATTAGCGGAGCAACAACTTTCACCATGCGGTTTCTGCCCCATTGTAGCTCCACAGGTGCGTTTTTATGTCTCTTACGGATAGATTATGTTTTAATGCAAGCACTGTGTTTGAATGAGTGTGAGGGGTTTTTTTTATTATGCTGTTTGTCATAAATGTATTTCTGTGACTTAGTTTATGTATTTTGTATGTATTTACACCCTATGTTACTGCTATATAAATGTAAGTACTTACTTTAAAGAATGCAACAAATGCAAGATTGTTTTAAAAGGTTAAAATTAGGTTTTGAAAACTTAATTTCAACTAGATAGCAAGAGTTTTTGGATTTGGTTAAGACAATTCGTGCTCAGAGTTACATATTTAACTATCATCAGACAGATCTGAGCTTGTAGTATTTAAAATGTATTTTTATGCATGTACGTACACAGTATTACATTTTGTGAAGGATTAAAAATTTTAGGATCATAAATTTCTATCTGTGTAGGTTTGTGCTCACAAATGTGTGTGACGGTAAAATTTAATAAGTTATGCTTGTAAAAAACTTTTTTTTTATATTCATGATAATATGGTAATAATAATAATAGCTGATTTATGTCAACCTGTGCACTTATAAAATGATGTTTCCTAAATTGTTTTGCTCTCATATCTTTTAGCATTTTGTTCTGCTTCACCTCCACAGCCATTTGAAATTTTCCATTGTTCAACACACAGAGGAACAGATGAACCAGCACCTAATGCAGCCCTTCCGTCAGTGCACAGAGAGAACAGACAATACCAGCCATATTACAGGGGCTGCTGCTCACACCGAGGGCTTAATTCAAGTAGAAAGATTTATGTTAACAGAGAGCAGCCATACTTCCCAGGCCTAAATGAAGTGTACTTCACTTTGCTGCCAGCCTTTTAGTTTTAAGTGACTTTTAGAGCTTTACCTGATGGATATAGATATGTGCTGTGAGCAGTTCAGTTAAACACTGATTTTTAGTCTAGGTATCTTAGAGAAGCACTCATAGAGCCTTTAGATGACTTAAAGAAAGTGATTTGGATATAAAATGTAACCAAAATTTATAATAATATGTAATATGAAGCTATAACTTGGTTAGCATGATATCTTAAAGGTGAAAATCGTTGGTTCCCTCCCACAGAAACAATATATACACCACAGGTATATACGTACCTGTGCTTTGAGTGACTGATATCTCATTATGTAATTTCACAGGTATTTCTGTCTTGTTTTCAGATCAGTGGAGCACACACTGCTACGTGCTATGTTTGTTCCTCCTCATCAACTGCTTTGGAGCAGCTTCTCCCCTTTATGCTCCTCCCGCGCCAACAGGTCTCCTCTCTGCTTTCTCTGCCACGCAAACCAGTAGCGTGGTGGGAGGCAAGCAGAAGGCAGTGACCTTCAACAGGCTCGTGGTCAACACTGGAGGGGATTTCAATCCAGACACTGGCCACTTCCGCTGTCGCATCCCCGGGGCTTACTATTTCTCCTTCTCTGTGGGGAAATTTCCCAAAAAAATGCTTTCTGTCATCCTGGTGAAGAACGGAGAGGAGGTGCAGGCTATAGCTTATGACGACTTCCGCAAGAAAGGGAGAAAAGTTCAGAGCCAAAGTCTTATGATCGGTTTGACGAAAATGGACATAGTGTGGTTGCGCTTGCAGCCTAGCCCCCAGTATGCTTTGTACAGCAACGCTGGGCCTTACATCACCTTCTCAGGTTACCTGGTCTATCCTGATGCCATGGCAACCAGCTACATCAGCAACCACTTGTCTACACCTGCTCTACCCTACCCAAACTGTCCACCTCAGGTCAGAGGCCAGAGAGAGCAGCCACGGTCTGCCTTCTCAGTAGCACGGACATCAACCCTCATGGGTCACAGCATCTGGACACAAGAAAAGCCACCGATCACCTTTGATGTAGAATATGTCAACATAGGGGGCCATTTCAACAAAACCTCTGGCCGCTTCACCTGCCACTTCCCAGGGGTGTACTTCTTCGCCTTTACTGTGGGGAAACACCCTCGTAGGGCTGTTTCAGTGAAGCTGATGACCGGGAACGGCGAGGTGCAGGCGATGGTGTTTGATGATGACACATCAAAGAGAAGGGAAATGCAGAGTCAGAGTTTGTTGCTGTCTCTCAGCAGGGGCGACAGCGTGTGGCTGTACAGTCAACAGGATGAGCGCTTTGCTGTTTACAGCAACCAGGGCAGGTACACCACGTTCTCAGGCTTCCTGGTTTATCCAGATACAGAAACACCTGCCACCAGCCAGGAGGACAGAGGTCACCTATAAATGTCTTAAGGTTGTAGCTGTTTTTTGTTCCCAGCCTGCAGTTTATCTCCACGTCAGTGAGTCAGGTAGAATATTTAAACTGTGGTCAGCATAGTTTAACAGATTCCTCTCTCTCTTTCTTTTTGTAACATTTTGTTTGTTTTTATTAAACAGTGTTATTTTAAAAGGTAACATTTGTTGCCACCAGATGGTGCTATGATACAGCTAAGTGCAATGTTCTCTTAGAAAATCTGTGATACAGTTTGGGTTTAGGTGCACAGATACAACTATCTGAGAATTTTCATTTTAAAAAAGTGAACATTACATGACAAAAAGAACGTTGTAAATGATGTAAAGTTTATTCAAATTTATGTACTACAAAATGTAGACTTAGAGTTGCACCATGTTAAAGTTATTTAACTTTTATTTGTAGAAAGATCTGATTAAATGATTTGTGTGCATTTTGGGAAAATGATAAATAAATTTCCTTAAATTAGTTTTACATATGTTATTTTTTTCTTCTAAATCAAACAAATGCTGGTTTGTGGATGAAAATAAACCTAAGATAAACCTAAAGATCAGACACGGGGCGATCGTGGCTCAAAAGTTGGCAGTTTGTCTTGTAATCGGAAGGTTGCCGGATTGAGTCCCGGCTCCGACAGTTGCGGTCGTTGTGTCCTTGGGCAAGACACTTCACCCGTTGTCAGAGGGCCCGGTGGCACCAGTGTCCGGCAGCCTCGCCTCTGTCAGTGCGCCCCAGGGCAGCTGTGGCTACAATATAGCTGCTATCACCAGTGTGTGGATGACTGAATGTAGTGTAAAGTGCTGTAAAAAAAGGCCATTTACCATTTAATTAAGGATTTTTATAACATATTATAACACGGGACTATATTATAACATCTGATAAATCTCTTTCCAAACATGAATTCCTAAATGTTGCCATTTCTACTTAAGCTCTTAAAGCTTCTGATTCACAGCACCATTACCACCAGAAAGAGAAAAAGAGCCAAACATTTATCTTAAATAATCTTTATTGGCTATTAGAAAATTGGTTAAAACATGCAAAAAAAAAAAATCCCTCAGTCACGGCCCTCTAATTGAGACGCCTTTGTTTGGCCAGATGGCTACCTACAGGCATAAATAAGGAATAAAAAGTCAATGTTTCTGGAAGATGTAAAAATGAAAGATTATACAAATATGATCAAGCAGAAAAGGTGACAATGTTTTTTTGGGGGGGTTTTGCTTACTCTTTATTGAATAACTGCATCCCAGATGTTGTGACTAACTATTATGAAAACTATTTCCAGGTAAACCCTTTTTTTCTTGAAAATATTTATTCAGGCAGATCGTAGGATTCACCCATTATCACACTTAAGCTAAGCCTTCCACTTCTTAGGAGCACCACCGTGGCTTTCCAGTGTTTGTACTTGTTTGACTAATCAATGTTTTGCATGATATACACAGTAAAAAAAAAAAGGTTGGCCAAATCACAATATTTGAACAGGAGCCTCTTTGTCTGTGAATGGTTAAAAATAATAGAGTAATCCATGAGAAAGGCACAAGCAGCACTCTAAACCAATCACTACATGACTAATGCCAATGTCATGGCTTCACAACAGAGGCTGGGAAAGGACTGTAAGTGTGAGCTATGATGTTGTCTTGTAAGTTAATGTCCACATTATCACCCCTGTGTTACCGCCTTCTTCTCTCGTCCTGGCCCGTCACTGCACATCCCAGATCTCACAGAGCAGCGGGGTAAATTTGTGGTCGTTCGTTCTCCAGGATGTGAGCAACTCCGTGTGGAAGTGGTTGAGCGTTCTCAGCTCTGTCAGACGGCCCAGGAGACGAGCGAAGTACTGCGGCTCCCGCGGATGCTGCAGGGCGCACAGCTTCCTCAGCACATCCAGCATGGGCTCCTGAAGTCTCTCAACAGCCTGCTGATCTTTGACATAAGGCCGATCTGGAGAGGAACAGAGTGGATAGTGATCATCATCATCTTCACAGAAATCAAAATTTGAATCAAATATTACTTTAGGAAACAACAAAATACATCCAAATCAATGCCCTTAACACTATTTTTGGGGGGCTCACCTGGTGTCAGGATGGTTACGGCAGTAAGGAGAGCCTGTTCCTCCGGTGCCATGTGGAGTTTGCTGATGCTTTTGTAAAAGTTGAATATGGGTGTAATGAAGTCCTGTGATATACCTGCAGAAAAAGAAAGCAACATATTTTTTTTCTAATAAAATAAAAAGTTTTATATATAAAGTCAGTGAATAGTAAATAAACAATTCCTCAAAGTAAGAAGCCATCTCTTAAGCTTTGGTTTAATTACTTAAGTCCAGACGCTTTTCTTTGCAAGCTCCTTTGACTACAATGACCTGGATGACTGAGAACCTTCACAGACATACTTAAAGTAGAGTAATTCAATTTCTGTTGTTGTTGTTCATGTTGTGGAAGAGCCAATAAACATGTTTATGCTGACTGGAAGTGCTCTAAACACAGTAAATTGACCTTCCCAAATTAATAATAAAAAGTCTTTGATCTGCAGCTCTACGCAGACAATGTTAGTCTGTGCACTAACTTGATGGATAATAAAGGATTGTCGATGCTGCTGAAAGCTGGCGAGGTTTTATAGTTTTAAGATGCACAGAGACGGCCTGTTTTATGTAACAGCCTGTACTTTGACCAGGATAATCTATAATGTTGTATTGTACTATTCATTTTATTTATTTAAAAGATGCTGTAACGTTTTTCATGTAAAATACATTCAGTTTTAAGTTTTTACAGCTAATATGATCAAAGACTGGAGTCTGGAATCAAAAACACATATACAGGGTCTGAGGTGGATGTGCTCTGCTGCATTGTGGTGAGAAGAGTGATGAGGAGGTAGATGAAGGTGTGAGAGAAGCGAGGCAAAGGAGACAGCGAAGAAAGAGTTTTTATGAGTGAATTGTATTCAGTATGTGAAGCCATCAGCAATTACGACACAATTATTTGCAGCTAATCATAGATCTTATCCTTATCCTAGCCCTGCGTCAGATTGGTGACCTGTCCACAGTGTGCCCCGCCTCTTGCCCTATGGTAGCTGGGATAGGCTCCAGCCCCCTGCCCCCCGCAACCCTGATAAGGATAACCAAAAGAGAATGGATGGATGGATGGTTGGATGTAGAATACTGTGCAGCACAGTCATACCAGGCTCATTCACCTCTAAATCATAATTTCTAAAACCTTTTCTGCCTTTCTCTGGTTCTAAGCAGCGATTAAATAATAAACATATTTCATATACATATTTCAAACTTCTCTCTATATTATTTTAAAGTTTTTGTTTAGTATGCTCTTGCACGTTGGCAGCACTTCCTGATATTAAAGCTCTTCAGCTAGCGGAGGGTGCCTGTCTGCTCGGGCACATCATCGAGCTTTCAGAAATGCCAGCAGGGCTCAGAGGGAGAGAAGTGGACAATAGCACTTCTGATGTTTTGATAAGAAACAATGGCCTCCTCAGACAGCTTTGATCACTTATTCTCCCAGACTGGCCTTTACTGTGAATATCTCTTATAGGCACTATTCACACCAGAGCAGCACTGAGGGACCCAGTGACGCGCACACAGGCCTGCCATCACCGCTGCTGTCTGTCTAACTGTCCAACCTGGTTGACATAATGACACCCCATATTAATATAGATGTTTTTTTTCTTTTAAAGGAGACAACACAGGGGACATATGAGCAAAAATCTATAGGTTTGGATTAAAACAGCAGAAGAAACTCATGCGCTGTAATAAATTAATCCCAGAAAAGCCACTCTCCTTTAATCTGCGAGCATGGATGCACATGTAGCGCCAAACGGAGTGAAACAATAGCCGGTGAAGGTGTGTGCTCATGTGTAATCTATACCCAGCCAGAGATCAACAGGTCAGCATACGTAACCGACACAGATCAAATATTAATCAAGGACCTGAAAGACTTAGCTGCTTGGCTGCAGAAGACCAAGGCTGCTGAAGGTCATGAAGCAAGAGCTGCACACATAAAAACTTGCATCTGCTATAACTGCTGAATATCAGCACCGACACATTTATAGGTGCTGCTGTAGACTCACCACTCTTCCGTATCCTCTCCTCTAAAAGTTGCGCGTATCCAGTGGGCATCTTTTTGCTGAAAACCTGAACTGAGCGCAGATATGTGGCTTCCACAGCTGAACCCTTCAGCAGAGCAATCTGATCTTCGTGATCCAGAGACAGAAACCCTATGACAGACATAACACTTGTCATTACAACAGGCAAGATACTGTGTTTTTACTTAACGTACTCTCCCAGCATCTGTCATGCCTCTGTCCATGACCTTAAGATAACACTGCAGTGTGCTCTACAGGATTGGTAAAAAGAAAAAAGAATTACCTGGAATACTTTTTGTAAACTCCACCAAAACTTGAACTTGGCTTGTTGCCACTTCTGTCAGTAGAAGAAAGTTTTCATCTGCGCTGTACTGTTCTTGTAGCTTGAGGAGAAAACAGCGGGAAAAACAGATCAGAGGGAAGAGGGAGCAAACAGCAAACTAATACAACAGTCTCGGCGGCATGTAGTCATGCAAACATTATTTCACCCAACAAGCTGGTGCTGCTTGTCTGATGTCTGTGCATACAGGTTTTATTTTCTTAGCTGCATTCCCCGCAGCCAGTTTTCATCAGCACTGTTCCCCTGGTTATTTAATATCAATATTTCTGTTTCGTACCAGCTTTTTAGCAAAATCTTGAGGAATCTGATGTTTGTTGTAAGCATCCACGATGAGTTTCATGAGTGCCTGCTGCTCTTTGGTGAGTTCAACTTTTTCCTGGATTTAAAGAGAAAATCAAAAACAGCCCATCATTAAGCGGTGACGTCTTCTGTGCCTGTTTGAGAGCATCAGCGAGCTCTGAGGACATCTGCAGATGTTGAGGTTACCTTTGACAGTCTGGTGGTGGAGGTGACCTGCTTGTTGTCGACATTCTCTGGCCCCTCCGTCTCATCCCCAGTCGACTGTCCTGGGGAGGCCTTGGTGTTCTTCCGCAGCCTTTTAGATTTACACTGGATCTCTGTCAGCAGGCCTGTCAGTAGCGACGAAGGATTCACTTTGCGTGTTAAATACCTTGCAGGTTTTTAATGCAGCGGCAGTGCTGAATGTTTATTTTCATCTATGATGGCTTTGGTCAAACTATGTGCAACAAGCAGGCAGATTACTGCAACTCTTGCTGTTTACTATTTTAACATCACATCATAATGCATATATGTGAACTGCACTCTACTAAATTTGATTCCTTTTCTACCTTATTCCTTCCCAAAAACACTGCAACTGCCTCTACTTTAGATTTCTCTGATCAATTGCATAATAAGTTTACACTTAAGATAGTGCTGAGAAGAGAAGCGTTCTCAGTTACCATCTCTCTTCTCACATTTTGATCAAAAATCTAACTCACTAGTCTCTTGTTGAGGCAGCAGATAGAGAGAATCGTGAATGCCTTTCACCCTGCATTATTCATCACATCTTCTCTGTACTATTTATGAGCAACAGGAGTCCAGCCTCTCATT